AAAAATATCTCTGCAGTATTTAAAAGACCCATTTTTTTTTAAAAAAAAAAAGAAAATGTTTTCACAATTTAAGCTCTAGGTAGGAGGTATTAGTAATTTTATGGACATAATCGAGTGTCTATTTTAGTGGTTAAGTGAGACTTTAGAATATAATCTTGTAATAATTAACCGAGCAAAAAGATTTACTGAAAAAAATTACCACATTGACATAATCCAGAACACGCGAATCCTTCATTGCATCAGTCGAGTTCTTTGTCATAGCCTGCAGAGTCAATGTAAGTCAAATTTAACAGCAAAGATGGTGCAAAATGCAAATACTCACACACAGACACACACACACACACACACACTATATATATACATATTTTATATAGAGAGAAAGCTGACCAATTTGAAGTTTTGGAGGGATATAAATCCACTTTTACTCGGCCCTAACATTGTGAACTGTTCCCGGAGATAGGCTAGCTGAGGTATCGTCAATGTTTTAGCCAGAGCCTGTCATAATAGCAGAATTTGATATTTTTTATTTTGCATAAACTTTTTGGAGATAAAATTTTTCAGCATAAAAAATAGTACATGTCCGAAAATGTCAGTAGAAACAAAACATGAAAAGAAGAAGATAAGACGGTAATGTGTGCATACCCCTAATGCAGCCTTTCGCAAAGAAGAAGAACAAATATAAGCTTTTACGAGCTTATATATTATCGTATCAAGAGGGATTTTCACGTCATGATGTCCGACCAGCCATGGATGGCCTAGAACACGACAAAATGATTTCATCATTATGCAACAAAAAAGTAAAAACTAAACTATTTAGCCTCGTACGTATTTTCTTGCCTTTATAGAAAACTAGATGGACAATTTAGTTTAGTAATAATATATACACTTCTAACGAGACCTTTGGATATCACTGATATTGAATAATATCAATGGTATTGGATAAAATCATAAGCCTAACAATAAGGAATAAATTCAAATAGTTTCCCCTTAAGGCTATTTCAACTACACAAATGATCTGTTAAATCTTTAAAAACAACAACCCTTTGGCTTTGTGTTTGTCTTACAAATTACACACATATTTTTGTATATGTAGTTAGGCTTACATTGCATTTGCTTTTATTCCTGACAAAAAGAACATTTAGCATCAATTTACAAATCTACTATTTTTGTTATGTTAGGTAAGCATATAAGCTAGCTTATAGCTTATTTGATTAGCTTATAAACTTCCTGTATTCAAATAAGCTTCGTTTGGCAGGACGAGCTTTCTCATAAGCTCGTCTGGGTAGCTTTTCAAATAAGTTCGTTGAAATTTTTATTTCAGCTAATTTTACCAAACACTTTCATCAATATAGGCTAGTTTATCAGCCATAAGTCATAAGCTATCAGCTATAACCTCGAAATTCACTTGAAATCTATAGACTAACTTATCAGCTATAAGCTAGTTTATCATGCACTTACTTAGCGCCTGAGCTGCCGTTAGTCGCTTACGATAATCCTTGTTCAACAAACGCTTCACAAAATCTATGGCATCACGAGACAAATCAGGCCATGGGGCTTCGTCAAAACTTGGGTCGGCCTTTAGAACAGCCCGGAAGATTCCAGATTCTGTCCTCGACCAAAAGGGGCGGCTCCCACATAAAAGAATATACGCAATTACACCAATACTCCACATATCTGCTTCTGTTCCGTAAGATCTATGCAAAACCTCAGGGGCCACGTAATAAGCACTTCCGACAATATCGTTAAGCCTTTCGTCTGTAAAGAACATACATTTGTTCTTGTTCGTCAAACTCGAGTAGTTTGAAAAGATCAAAAGAATGAGAAGTAGATTTAGTAATACTTACCTGGCTTTACATAATCAGAAAGTCCAAAGTCGATGGCTTTCAGAGGGGAATGCTCGTCTTTTGTCGTGAATAGAAAATTCTGAGGTGAACAAGTGAGAAATCCATGGAAAATTTAGTGAAATGATAATACTCATATTTATTGATAAGAAAGTTTCAGCTTCATTTAGTCTTTGGCTAGAATCGAACAGATAATATAAGTGAACAATATAAAAGAAAAAACAACAAGATTTGTATAAGGTTCAAAATATCCTTAAAAAATAACAAGAACAAACAAACAAATCTAAAAAGCAACGATATTTCTAATCGAGGCTACTACACATCAGACAGATACGAAATTTTCCATTGTTCTACAATGCCACAATACCGTAGAGAAAAGTTTTGATAAGACTCCATATATTTCAAACAATAAAAAACACAGAAAATATATATGTTAGATGAACCAGTAGACCTACCTCAGGTTTGAGGTCACGATGAACCACGCCTTGTAGATGACAATATGCAACCACGTTTAAAATCTGCACGATAACAATTTTTGCATCTTCTTCTGAATATTTCCCGCCTCTGAACCAAACAAATGAGGAAAAAATCACTTAAAGCCTCAGAGCATGATAACGAGCATACATAGATGATGAAAGATAAAAAAAATCGAGCTTACCTAGAGAGAATGCGGTCCAGTAGTTCTCCTCCTTTGCATAACCTTAAAAAATAGAACAAAAAAGTGGCATTTTATTCTGTTAAATGTCTAATTAGCAAAAACAAAACTACAACCAAAAATAAAGATTATAAAATTGTTGGTACAGAAAATGACAATTTTTTTCTAGAAATGAGTGATGCGAAAAAGAATGAGAAAATACAAAATGTAGGTACAGAAAAGAGTCTGGTAAACACGATTAAGATAGACGAAATTTTAGACTTACTCCATCACTACATAGACATTTTCTTCATCTTCATAGGCATCATAGAATTGCACCAAGTTCTTATGTCCTGTTAGTGCTCGCAACATCTTCACTTCTCTTCTCACGTCCTCTATGGCAATTGCTGTAGTCATCTGCAAGAGTTACAAAATATTTTCATTGCAATGTTCTTTTCTTTTTTTCCTATGGAGACCAATTTATATGATTGTGAAATGAAGTAATTAGCAAATGAAAAAAACTACACATTGGTTGAACAACTATGAGCATGTCGGCCATTCCATGAAGAACCTCGCATTAAAAATTAACTAGAAAACAACAAACACAATATATGAGACGTCGAAATCACAATAAGTAGATAAGCAATAGTTTAATAATGTAATAAAACTCATACAATCCCACACCAGAAATCACATTTTCTTCACAACATTATGAAACCTCATATATATTTCATCGACTTTGACTTATTCTTAACTATGCATATTCAAAGACGATGTTTCAAAGGCATACAAACAGAATACAGTACTTATATAGTAAAGCAAGAACATGAATTCACTCAACTTCACCTCATAGTAAATAGCAAAAATTCCAAAACACGCATACGGAAAGAACGAAAATGAATCACATACAAGACAAAAAAACATACGCAATAACAGACTGAAAAAAATGGCAGACGAAAAAACATACACAATAAACAGTAAACACACAGACACACACAAAGCAATTCACATCAATTTTCTTGCAAGTCAACACATTCAACTCCTAATTTTCTTCTAAAAAAAAATATCAATTTTCAACCTTTGATTTTGGAATAACTTTAACAGCCACATCTTGCCCCTTCAAGCTCCCCTTCTTCCCCTTAGCAGAACAAGTGTACCCAAAATGCCCTCTCCCAACTTCCTCCCCAATCTCATAACAGCTACTAAAATTCTTCAAGAACCCGAAATTTTTATCCAGCCCAATGGTGACCTCACATTCGCTCCCCTCTGGTATAGTGGCTTCGTTCGGCTTGATCGAGCCATGCCTCCTCAGAAGCAAGGCCTTAATGTGCTTAGCTGGCGATGGCGGAGGAAAAGGGCGCTTGAGAAAACGAAGAGGGGTAGAAGGGACACTGCTGGAATTTGCAGGTGAAGTCTTGAAAAGACTTGGCAATGGACTCGGACTGTAGAATGGGAATTTAGGGGTTTTGCCATTAGAGGGTCTACTGAAGGTTTGTTCATCCTTTTCGTCTAGGATTATTGAGTTGTCAACAATATTTTTTGGGGGTTCAATGGGTTTTCCATAACAAAGCCCCATGGCATCAAGAGCTTTTTAGCTGATTAAAAATTCAAGAAAATGAGTAAAATGAAGCTGGAATGTTTTGTTAAATCGGGACACTAGAGAAAATCCATACCATTGGAGGTGAAATAATTAATTCCAGAAAAACTGGAACTCCAAAGGGACTAGAAATTAAGAAGGGTTCATACAGAAATAGTTAAAGATTTGATCTTTAGCATGTAACTGGAGGAAAAATAGGATTTTTGAGCTTGATGAGCAAGGAGCAGGAAGAAATACGAGGGAATTAAGTGTCAATACCCAGAAAAATCCGACGGGCTATGAATAAAGAGAGAAGCACAAGAAAGGGGGGGAAAAAACAAAGCAAAAATCTTGTCAGATTGNGAAAATGAAAATGGTTCTTTTAGCAATGAACAATGCCACAAAGAAAAGAGTATAGAAGGAAAAGAATCAGATGAATGAGCAGAACTGATTCCAAACTGATGAAATGGGTAGAAATAGAAAACTTGGAAATCACTAAAAATGCGAAAAAAGAAAAAAATAAGTGAAAAAGTAATAAAAAGTAAAACAAAAACAACAAGAAGAAGAAAGAACAGATGACTAATTATACAAAACAAAGGAAGGTAAATAATGGGACAGAGCTAAAAAGCAAAAAAAAGGGGGGCCAAAAGTGAGAGAAAGATGCCTAGCAGAGACTACAAGAGAAGAGGAAAGACTCGAACCCCCTTTTCTTCCCGTTTTTTCAATCTTCTTGCTCCATTTTAATTTACTTTTAACCCTTCACAACATTTTTTCCCACTCTGATTTTGTTGTGTATGTTTGTGGAGATCTGTCAATTTTCCTGAGAGGCCCAATTATTAATTGTCAGTAAATCGCTGCTATTTGTGGTGGGGTTTTGTTTTGGGGTTTGGATCCTTCCAGCCTGTCCTCTCTGTGTGTTTGAGAGAGAGTTGTATATAGTATTTTCATGTGTAAACATCTGCAAACAGCTCTAATTAAATCTAACTACCATTTTTTTTTTCTCTTTTTCTCTCTGACCAGCATTTTCTTTTTTCCTTTTTTTTTTGTTATTGTTTTGGGACTTTTTGGAATTGTGGAAAGAATCCAAATTCATGGTCACTAAATTAGTAGACAAAAATAGGTCTTAGATTGGTTCGACTTTTTATCATTTTCTTCAGGAATTGGAATCGAAACTCGTAAAATATAATCGGCTCGGCTTATATACTAAACCTGCAGAAATCGGAAAGGAAGCGAGCCGTTTTGTAACGATTCAGTTGATTCATTTTTTCGAGTAATCGAAATTTAAGAAAATAAAATTCTGATAATCAACGATTTTGAGTTAATAATGAGTTAAAAAAATCAAAATTGAATGATATAAAATCAAATACTGTTGATGTATTTAGTATTTAGCATTAGATATTTTCTATTGTACCCTTATTATCTTAGTTTCTTAAGGACCAAGCTATTGTAAAACCTAATTGTACATTTATATATATGAGAAGGGCGAGCCGCAAGACATCAGATTAGATGTCGCAAATCATTCTTTCTCTTCTGTTTCGTTCTTGTCATGGTATCAGAGACAATATTTTTTTCGTTAGTTCTCCTCTCTACTGACATGGCCATGTCCGGTGAAGGCTCATATTTTTTTTCGTTCTAGAGCAGGATAATATATTTTTTTTTCTTCTCGTCAGTTCTCCTCTCTACTGACATCGCCATGTCCGGTGAAGGCTCAGGCTCAGGCTCGGCTGCTATTCTCAGAAAAACGATCTCTCCATACGACATCACTTCGAGCGACAATCCGGGCCTTTTGATCACTCAAGTTCAATTAAAGGGAGACAACAATTATGAAGAATGGTCCCGTAGCATCCGCACCGCTCTTCGTGCGCGCAAGAAGTTTGGATTTTTAGATGGTTCGATCGTGCGACCAGCCCTTGACTCCGATTTGTTTGAAGATTGGCAAGCCAACAATGCCCTCTTGCTGTCCTGGCTTATGAACAGTATTGATGCCACGCTCCGATCGTCTCTCGAGAATAATGGCACTTGGGAGGTGGTTTCTCTTCCTCCTGGGAAACGTGCTATCGGTTGTAAATGGATTTACAAGATTAAATATCGTTCGGACGGCGCTGTTGAGCGCTATAAAGCGCGACTGGTGATTCTAGGTAACAATCAAGTCGAAGGGATTGATTATCATGAGACTTTTGCCCCTGTTGCTAAAATGGTGACAGTACGGACTTTCTTAGCTGTTGCTTCCGCTCGTAAGTGGGAAGTTCATCAAATGGATGTCCACAATGCCTTTCTTCATGGTGACTTGGATGAGGAGGTCTACATGAAGCTTCCTCCTGGCTTTCGGACTGGTGATGATGGACGTGTATGTCGTTTGCGTCGCTCTCTCTATGGATTAAAGCAGGCTCCTCGGTGCTGGTTTGCGAAGCTGGCTACTTCTCTTCGTCAGTACGGTTTCTCTCAGTCACACTCTGATTACTCTTTATTTACCTTGCATCGTGGGTCTGTCCACCTGCAGGTGTTGGTGTATGTTGATGACCTTCTTGTCTCTGGCAATGATCCTGTGTCCATTGGGGCCTTTAAGAGCTACTTGAGTCTCTGCTTTCACATGAAGGATTTGGGTTTCTTGAAATATTTTTTGGGTATTGAGGTAGCTCGCAACACTTCTGGCATTTTTTTGTGCCAGCGAAAATATGCTTTGGACATCATTTCCGAGGTTGGTTTATTGGGAGCTAAGCCGATGGAGTTTCCGCTGGAACAGAATCATCGTCTTCTTGACGATGCTAGCCCCTTCTTCGATGACTCGGAAGCATATCGGCGCCTGGTTGGTCGTTTAATTTATTTGGCTGTTACACGTCCCGAGTTATCTTACTCAGTGCATGTTCTTGCTCAGTTTATGCATCAACCTCGGCGATCACATTGGGAGGCTGCGTTGCGAGTTGTTCGATACCTGAAGGGCTCCCCTGGGCAAGGTATTCTGCTTCGCTCTGACTCTGATCTTCAACTCTCTGGGTGGTGTGATTCTGACTGGGCTGCATGTCCTCTTACTCGTCGGTCTCTTAGTGGTTGGTTTGTTCAGTTGGGCCAGTCTCCGATTTCTTGGCGTACCAAGAAACAGCACACTGTGGCACGTTCTTCTGCAGAGGCTGAGTATCGGGCTATGGCTACTGTTATTTGTGAGCTTAAGTGGTTAAAAGGTTTGCTGCACAGCCTTGGTGTGCCCCATTCGCAGCCCATGCGTCTCTATTGTGATAGTCAGGCGGCATTGCATATTGCCGCTAATCCAGTTTTTCATGAACGGACTAAACACATTGAGGTGGATTGTCATTTTGTTCGCGATGCTCTTGTTCAAGGCCTTGTTTCGACATCTTATGTTCACACTCGTTCACAGTTGGCTGATCTTTTTACTAAGGCACTTGGAAAGCGCGAGTTCGACTTTTTCCTTAGCAAGTTGGGCATTCGGAATCCCCATGCTCCAACTTGAGGGGGGGTGTTGATGTATTTAGTATTTAGCATTAGATATTTTCTATTGTACCCTTATTATCTTAGTTTCTTAAGGACCAAGCTATTGTAAAACCTAATTGTACATTTATATATATGAGAAGGGCGAGCCGCAAGACATCAGATTAGATGTCGCAAATCATTCTTTCTCTTCTGTTTCGTTCTTGTCAAATACATGTACATTGTTTGATTATATATTCGGGTATTCGGTCAGTGAAAAAATAAAACTAAAGAGTTCTTTTTTAAAAAGAAATTATCATTTTTAAAATTCGGTTTTTGTTTTACAATTCTCACGTATAAAATCCCAAATGTAAACAAAAATTTGCTAGATCAATCATATTATCCCATGGTAGAAATTATAAATGGTTTTTTCATATTATAAAAACGTAAGTACTGTTAACATCCTCATTCATCACTACTTATTGCTCCATAAGTAACATTAAAACCTCTCAGTTGGGGCAATTTTTTGAAATCATTAATGTTGACAGATTATTATTAGATCATAATTTTCATGAATACTACATAAATCTGCACGCTTTGTCATTTAACAATATTGTAGTTCACCAACACCTACAAACCAATATATATGTGTATCATAAAGTTTAAAATTATATATTTACCAATTAATCAATAATAGTAATCAACTCCATTTTTATTTGTTTTTTCTTTATTTAATTTGTGTGTGTCACGAATTCACAATGTCAAAGATCCTTAGACAAAAGAGCTTAAATCAAGTATCTTCATTTGAATTATGCAGATCATGTGGAAAGTTGGGAAGAGAGACAAATTGTCAAATTTATAGGTAATTAAGCTCCTTTTCCTTTTGAATCTTTTCATAATAAGCACTATTATAATTGAAAAAAAAAAAAACGAGAGACAGAGAGAAAGAAATCAACTTCTCTAGTCAATTAATCATAAAGTGTGTTTGGATTAGACAATACCTTTTTGCAACCACCATTCATAAACATATTCAAAAACATTTCACCAATATTTTTTCTAGTTTTATCTTTCTTATGTTTGAATTCTTGATAATAATACATATTTTAAAGTATTTTTTGATAAATTAATAATGTGGTCAAACTCAAAGAGCTACATAGTTTCATAAACTACATAAAAAAAAATATCGTTGTTCAAAATTTCTTCACTATTTAAAAGACGGCCAATAGTATAGTCAGATCACCAACTCAAAATTTCCAAATGTATGACCATGCACATGAAGATTAAGATTATTTTATTTTGTTTATTGATTAGGTAGACATACTATAAATAAATAAATACCTTGAATTGGTCATATTGTCATGTAATGTATTTTAGGTGCTTCGTTCCTTAGTTCCTTACATATTATTGGATCAATTATGAGGATAATGAATATATATGGTGTTTTGTATATATATATATATATATATATATATATATATATATATTATTTTTTATTAATTACAATAAGATATACAATATGCAAAGTGCAATGTAATTTAAATGCTTTTTTAATTGTACGGGTAATTATTTACACAATT